TTGATTTCTATTCGACTATCAGGGCCCCTTTAACTTACAGCTGAAACACTACAGTTTAACGGCATCACACAAGTGAGGCATGGCCCTCTTAGTTTCCCTTGTCGGTTAGATAAGCGCACGCGCACTCGCGTACTGCAGGTGGCCTTATGCTTACTTCCAGGACTATTTATTCCCGTGTCCTGACTTTAACCTGGACCCTGACAGTGACGCTCCCAAACCTAACACAAACCCTCTTGATCCCATTTCAAATCCCACCCCCCATGGAATTTGGCGTATAACCCACTTGTGATACTTAGGAGTGGTGCTTGTAGCTGTGCCCTTCGCCCTTGTCTTAGTAGGTTAGCTCCTGGCAAATCGCATGCCAGACGTTTTGCTACCGCTTGGGAAGATCTTAACATAAACTTTGAAAGCAAAATATCCGCCTAGAGAGCCCCATTCCAGGATGCACACGAGGGCGATGTCATCAGTCCCGTCATATCAGTTGCCCGAGGACTTGTGCGCTAATGTGTACTTGCCCTCGCATTACAGACGGTCTACGTTTATACATTTAAATGTCCGACTGTACAGTGTTGGGCGCCTGAAGTTAAACAGGGTAGCTGCAACCAAAAGGCCCTTTTAGTGCAACCTTGTCATTTCTTGTTTATGCAAATAACAATAGTTACTGAAAATTAAAGTAGTAGGTAAAATACTGTTCGTAAAATAAATAATACAAAAGTTAGGGGATTTTGACCCTATACGGGCAAATTCTCCTTATCGCTCCCGACAGATCCTGATGCAGCGTCCTCCGGTTCCGTCTCCTTTTCATGCTTTTTTGTACGGTCGTAGATGGCCTGCGTTGTCGCTGCAATGTACATGATGGAGAGACCGCCACTTCCCGAGCGACAACGATCCCTACAAGAGGACGAAGTTGGCTTCTGTTACAAGTTATCCACAGTAAGGTTTGCTTCAAATAACTACAGTTCAAATTTGGAAAAAACACCCAAAGATCGCGCCGCGTTTTCAAGGAATCGCTCCTTCTTTTGTGAATTCGAGCTCGAAATCTCGGACATTTTGATGCGTCTGCTAAAACATTAGGCAAGAGGGAACCAGAATATAGAGAACCGGTTGAGTTCAGTTTCCCAGTTGTAGTATTATGTAAGATCTTATCGGCCCTAAGCTAACTGGTCAACCTCAACAGCACGAATGCTAACTTGAGACTAACCAAAAAATTGATACATTCGGGCACTTACTTTCTAAGGAGGGCATACTGACTATATCGATCATAAAAATGTCTACTCTGTGGGCTCAGATACACAGTGAATCCCGACCTAGGCCGACATTTCCAGGAGGTCTAGCGATATGGTATTTATAGACTAGGAAAAGCGAAGCTATTAAAACATGAACAATGCCGTGTTAGTCCGACAGGACAACGGGCTCGTGGCCCAGTGGTTAGAGGCAAGGACTTCTACCTAACAGGTCGCGAGTTCGAGCCTCGGGTGTTCCACACTTCGGGGTTGGGTATGGCTGGCTGACGACGGATAATAAGCCAGACATGGTCATTCCAGTCTCTCTTGTCTTAATCAGTAATACCATACTGCCTATATCAGGCGCCGTTGTGCGGCTGCTGGTTGGGCTCGTGAGAGAACCCGTAAGGCACAAAGGAACGAGTGAGTTCCGTAAGAACGATCGATGAGCATCCCCCCCTACCATGGTCTAGCGATAGTTTGTGCGCATGTGTGGGTCGCCCTGGCGGACGCTTAAAAGGCCTGCTTTAAAGACAGAAGCCTCCCCTCATGCATAAAATAATTTCATAGGAGACAAAATAAAATCCATTTGCTTACAGGAACCATTCCATGGCAAAGAGCAACCCAGCGCCCTCGGTGGGAACGCCGACAGAGGAGAGCACAGTGACCACGAGGACCATGCTGGCGCTGGGAATGTTTGGCACGGCTAATGAGGACGCGAATGTCAGAAACCTGAAAAAAAAGGAGAAACTAAGTTGAGCACTTAAAGCGCTTATCGACAAGACACTCCGTGAAGGCAGTGCAGTAGGAGTGCTCTGTCGTATAACAAAGGCTAGCGGTAGCGTGAATGCTCCTAGCATCAGAGGTTGCTGATGTGCTTCATTGCCAGCAATGTCGGACTGCCGAATCGAGTGAAGTCCTCAGCAGGCACTAACGCGACAGTTGAACCGTGTGCTCTGCAGTAGGGTGAGAGCAGGCACGGCGACTTGCACGGGATTTCTGTTGTAGCGATGGTAGACTAGCGTTGCGTCTACCGCACTCTCTCGTCCCTATCCCCAAACCTGGGCCCGGTGTCAAGACACAGTCAGGAGGGCGAGACCGGACGCGCACGCAGGCGTGACACCACACGCTGTAGTCCACAACAACCAATTGAACAGGATTCTAACTAACAGCAGCAGGAGCGACGACTGGCGCAACCGGAGTCGCCTCTAGGCGTGCGCAATACCCCGCTGGAATCCCACGGACTGAGAATGCCATAGAGGTCAAAGTAAGGAGCCATTGCAGCTTAACTCTCAGACCACCGGCCGGCTTCTTAGCATACAAACACGCGCAACCAGGCTGACTGCGAGGGCTGAGTTGAGGCGTCAGTTGGCAACTTTCCAAGCCAGGGCATCTGGCGCAGCGTAATCGTCTCAGGCTCGGATCACGCCTTCATCAGATGAGCCACATGGAGAAGGGGCTGAGAAATACACCTCCTGATATAATACTGCGACATCAGAGCAGGCGGTGGGGAGTACTTCATGGAGAATGCTGACGCTGGTGGTGTTTCAGAGCTGGCGAGCTGACTGGCAGACGCCCTCAAAAGTTGTAGTGGACGGTGCGTATACCGACGCATGGGTGACTTTTATGTCATTTGCACCAGAAAACAGATGACCATCTGCTGTGCAGACTGAAGTCAGTAAGCAAATTCAGAGCGAATTTTTGCACCGTAAAAATTAGCCTGTTGCAAAGCCTCCGTTTGGCATCGTCAGAATCGCATCGTTTCTTTCACTGTCTCAGATGATGGGTCCAAGTGAGAATCCGAAACGTCAGGCGAATAAGGCCCTTGTTCCAGCGATCGCTTCCATTTCTTATCAACTAGTTCCTGGAACTCGCATCTTCGCTTGTATCGAGGTGCTCGATCGGCCAATGTGGCACCCGTTGTGTATACGGGTTGCGGTAAAAATGTTCCTTGCACTGAGAGAACATTCGACGCTTAGGAGTGTTCGGGTGATGGTGCTTAAGCTCCCTGCTTCAGTGTTAAATACTCCTTGTCCAACGAAAGTCCGCGAGGGCCCTCGGAGGTAACACCGCTGTAAAACATCACTCCTTTCCCCCCCCCCCTCCCGCTCCACATTTTCTCTCGCAAAGTGGCTCGATCAGAAAACGTCGCACTCATGTGGCCTTGAACCTTTCCGGTCGCGGTTGGCAAAGCGTGAACCCCTGGTCGCCTGGCACAGCGTTCAGCTCGCGCACCAATCGGATGCGAGTTCAAACGCCACACCTGGGAATGGGTATGATTGTCTGCGGACTGTGGCGACTGTAGGCACTCTTGCCTTTGACGGTAAGACCTTTTCAAACTGACCTGATACATTTTAAAGGCCAGAACTCTCCGCAGCATGCCATCCGTTTGTGAAGGAAGCAAACATCGACAGCGATAGGCCCACTACAGAATGATTGCTAGCAGGGGATTTAAGATAGTTAGAGCTACAGGGTCAACTGCCGTGGGTTTGTCTTACAAGACAGATGGTTCTGTGTATAATGGGTAGGGCTGCATCCATTCGTAAGAATAGATAGGCCTTCCAAACTGTGCCATGGACGGACTTGGTACGACGTTGCGATGGCGTGACAACGTCGGTCTTACAGCAGGCAGTCTCAACTGCAGTGTTTTTCCCACCAGTAAGGAGTGTGGACAGCTTCGGGCCCAGCTATCTAGCTTTGATTATTTACATTTAACAGCCATTCCGTGACAGGCTCCGGAAAGTTGTCCTCCCATCTGTCATAGCAGCTGTAAAAACAGGGGACTGCGGTTGGGATGATGAGGCAGGAGGAGTAGGAAGGGCATGAGGAGGGGAAGGAGGAGGAGGAGGAGAAGATGAATGGGGAGGAAGAGGGAGAGGAAGAGGGAGAGGAAGTGGGGAGGAGGGGGGAGGAGGAGGAGAATAAAAAATCGGACATCCCGTCTTCATTCTGGGGCCACTTACAGGACAACTAGGACCTGCCCCACGTCAAGATTGGCGTCGGCTTGCTGAGCGACAAAGAGGACAGCGGAAGTTATGAAGATGGCCGGCCCATCACCCTTCATGGCCGAGCAGAGAGGTGTGGTGAAGCGGGAGATTAGGGGGCTCACTCCGTACCGGTCCAGGCCATCGTACATCTCTCCAATGGCAACGGCCCTGTAAAAGGAAGCAGACGGACGGAAATAAGATAAAAGCTTTGAGAATTAGACTGTGATACGCAAGACACCGTGCTTGAGCTCACCCTGCTGTAGGGTCAGACTATCGAGTATTCCACAGATTACGCCTATTAGCCAAACAGCTGGTTTATTCTTGGCCTTTTTAAAGTATTTAGCCTTCTTCGGTTCAACCGCCGACAACACTAGTTCTGTTAGTAGTGCCACGTCGTTTCTACTAGCTTGTAATACCTGGCGGGTGTCTTGTTCTGCTAGCTTGTGCGACATTGCCAGTGAGAGCACTTACTGCCAAATGAAGTCCCCTATCTCGTCCGATTTCTAGACATGTGTAAAGGCGGACTGTACCATAGCCCCAAAGGTGTTCGCGTCGGCATCTTTAGGCGTCTAAACAAATCTGCTGATCTGCCCTTAGTCATTGGGGGACGATATTGTGGACCAGGATTTCGCTGGTTTCCCGTAGAAGACGTTAATTATGGTGAATATTTACATTAGCGCAATATGTCGTCTAAGTCTGCTTTTTTGGTCGCTGTGTAAATCTTTCGTCGTAGCAGTGATTGCATTGATCTCGAAAAATCGAACATCTAAATGTCGAAATTGCCCGGATACTCACTCCCCTATGTCTAAAGACTAGGCGATATGTTTTACTTCCGAGAGCAAATGAGAGCTGACACCGGTCATATAGCGGACATCCACCAGGCCGCAAAACGGAGAATGGTGAAAGCAAATCGACAAAGACAAGAAGGACTGTGCTAACAATCTCGTTCATGACATCTTCAACCGACCATAGCACAAAACTAGCAAGCAGATCCATAAGCGCCAGGCCTATGGCATATACATTCATAATTTGCGGTGTATCTAGCCCAGTATTTGTAACTCTAAAAATTTCCGATCACATCGAAATATCCCACACACACACAAACATATTTTTAGGAAATCAGCATTCTTCTGGGGGAAAAGACGTTAAATGGTCTGATCTGGGCTAATTTAGCACAAATCAGTCGACTGACACCTCCGGCGGAGTGCTGATACAAACGCCAGGTTTGACGCTCGGTACGGCGGGGAGGGGATGCGAAGACAGCATGCAAGGGACTCCAACCTACAAACGACTTAGATCAAATACAAGAATGAGCTGACAACCGGACCATCACCCCAGCCATCTGAAGACCAGGGACGATAGATAGTGCGGAGCCACCAAATCGGGCAGCCATATGCAAGTCGGGTGCACCTTTGTGGACCACAGGATCTGACAGCAGATCCAGCTGCTTTTAACTCCCAACGGCTATAAAACACCCTCCAGAGATCTTATCGCTGAAGCCCAAGCCGTGGGCGAGACCCCGGCTAGCACGACCTTCAGGCACGGTCCCCAATGGAAAAAGGTGGGCGCTAGTTGAGAGGTTGATGTGTTCTACACAGAATAACAGGAGAAGGGGTCGGAGGGAGTTAACAGCCGGGTGAGGGTACGCTCGGTGTCGGAAGAGCGGCGACCCCAGTGTCGCCAGGGCATGCGTCAAAGTGTCTTAAGCCAGGACACGTCTGACTCGGCCTTTAATCTGATTGGCCAGTTGAAAAGCCGACTGGGCTAACGCCCAACAGCCCTGGTGCGTACTTACAGACACTCGCGAGAGGTCCAGCGTTGAGACGGGCGCTCGGGATAGGACCACCACAGTCTCCTTTCTCTTCTCAGACAAAAAATGCTTTTGTTGGCAGGAGAAGGGAAAAGATCCGTGGAAGACTTACGGGCTTGTGGTTGCAAAGGAGATGAGGTAGGGTTCGACACTGTACTTCAGCAAGCGGAAGGGGTTCTTTCCGCTGGCGGCCAACAAAATGACCACGATGAGGATGAAATGAATGGCCAGTCCGGTGAGAACAGTGGCAATGAAGAGACCCAGCTGCACAAAGTCCGACTGGATGTCCGTACGGGAGGCCACTGAGGAGGCCACCATGAAGCAGACGCCAACCGGTGTTAGCCTGCGGACATTAAAAGCAATGCAGTAGAAGTTACTCGTCTGTGTGCGCATTGTGGGGGGGGGGCTTAATCAGGGTATTTGTTTGCCTCCTACTAACAACTAGTTAGTCAAAAAGTCTGAAGGCGTGTGCTATGCCAATATCAGCAAAGCATGGCCCTCGCAGCCTGGTATGCGATGGCAGTTCCCTGGCTCCTAGTTCCCTGCCGGTAAATGCGTTTGCGCTCCTGGTGAGTGTACAGGTGGTAGGCATGGCTGCCCAGTCATCATCATCGTCCTTCTGACCCCCTGTTGGGGTATTGCTGTTGTTATTGGTGAAAATTCCTGGTCAAGTGTATGTTGTGGACCATGGGGTTTGGTGGCACGCCTAGGTGCGGGCTCGACCGTGCCATCCACCTGCTCCCTCCTCCACTTCCAGTCTTCTTGCCTCTGTCTTTACACCGGGTCGAGGTGGGGAGTGGAGAGTAGAGAGTGTGGTGGATGCTGCGCAAGTCCACTGTCACTAATTCATGCGCAAGTCGCCGTGTCTGCTGCACTTAACTGTGTACCACACGGTGGAAATCGTCGAAATCGACGGTCGAACTGTCACGAACGACCAATTGCATCCGATTTTTGCGGTTGCAATGGTGTTGGTGTCGAGGAAACAGAGGAAAAAGAGAAGGCAGTAGTAGTGTAGATGGCAGTAGTAGTGTAGATGGCAGTAGTAGTAGTAGTAGTGGTGGTAGTAGTAGTAGTGGTAGTAGTAGTAGTAGTAGTAGTAGTAGTAGTAGTAGTAGTAGTAGTAGTAGTAGCAGTAGCAGTAGTAGTAGTAGTAGTAACAAGACGAGGAAAAGCGAGGTTTTGATTGGCGCACCGGCGACACGTAAAAAATGGAGATCATATTTACAAATGTACGCGGGAGTGCCGAAACTATTTATGTTCACTCAGGATGGACATTCAGCATTGGAACAGGGTGGTGGTGGTGGTCGTCGTCGTCGTCGTGAGCTTGACGATTGTAAAATAAAAGAGCGACAGTAAAAAATAGAAAAAGGGAAAGCGAAGCTATTTAAACGGTTTGAATATGACCAATGCTGTGTTAGTAGTCTGAATTTTGTTACCGTTACCCCCCTACAACAGGCCACGTTGGAGATACGCTGGACAAACACGGGAGCTAGATTAGGGCACAACACGCGTTTTTCGGACTGCGTACCAGTAACAAATGTAACGCTTGTGGGGGGTGGCACGCCTAGGCGCCGTCCCACCTGTGCTCAATACCCGCACCAGAAAGCTGACCGGCTCGGACGGTGGACTGCTGTCTGTGATGTGGAAAAAAGAGTGCGGTCGACTCTGAGGCCTTCTTCTCCACGGTACCCAGCGCACGTTACTCACTATAAGCAATCTGGCGCGCTTTTAAACTATCACGGCGCTCTAAATGCTGCCAGCTAACAGGATAGCTCGGTTTGCCTCTCAGTGTGGAGATTCAGGCTATTACCTCTGTGGCATTTCCACCCAGATGGGATCCGAGCTGTCACTCCCCTGCGAAACGCTGGTCCACCTGGCGCGTGTATGGCACGCGCAGACGGGCTGTTTATCTTTGTCCGCCAGTGCGCCCATTCCCACCTCAGGCCTTCATGGCCTTGACGCCGAAATTAGGTGGGTTAGGAAGGATAGTGCGGTAGGTGTAGCGCAAGTCCACTATCACCATGAGTGAATTCACTCACAAAACTCAGTCACTGCATCAATTTCTCTGTGGGACACGCGGTTGACATGGTCGTTCGCGAAGGCTAAATTGTCGTACTGTGTTAGCAGTTAAGTTAAGTGATTCTTACCTGAATTAAGTAACCATAACACCAATAATGTCAAAAATTAATGCAGCCATTCACGATTAATGAAGACTCACTGGTAGGTGAAAAGTACGAAAATGATAATAAATAAAAGCGAAGAGACGAGTCCTAGGAAACAGTCTTGGAGATGGAAGCGATCGCTGGGACAAGAGCTTTATTAGCCTGACGTTTCGGATTCCTGCTCGAACCCATCTTTAGAGACAAAAGCAGATACAAGTGGTTCATGCACAAGGGGCTGTAGCATTTATTGGATGCAGTCGCCATGCTACCGCACGCCCATGTATATTCACGGCTCCCCCCTTCATTAGGGATCGTTGCACGTGGTGTGCTGACTGTTTGATGGCCGACATTTGCGTTATTAATTGCCGAACTGCAATACTTCCGATGGGTTTTCAAAGCCAATGGCTACCCGCGCAACTTCGTCAACCGGTGCATACGCATAAGGGACGAAAGGCCTAACTGCACCGACACCAAATTTTGGCGAGCGCTTAGGTATGTCAAGAACGTTTCGGAAGCTGTCAACCGCCTTCTCGCACCACTTGAGGTTGGAGTTGAACACAGACAGAAGGCAACCATCAAGCGTCGGGTAATGAAACGAAAAGACCCGCTGCCACGGCAAGAAACGTCTGGAGTCGTTTATCGGATCTGATGCAGTTGCGGACAAAGCAGCTACGTCGGAGAAACCGGAAGACAGATCCGAACGCGAATGGCCGAGCACGCTGCAGCGGTGCGGCGAAATGACGCCAGCTTTCAAGTTGCGGCTCATTCGACGAGATTCGGCCGCACATTCAAATTCGACGAGGCCGAAATACTCGCTAGAGGTAACAACCGCGTGAGCCGCGAGATGCTTGGGTCATGGTTTACTGGTCCCCAGTCCATTAACAAGTGCAATGATCTTGCCCTTCCATACTCGGTGCTAAGACTTCGTCTAGGCGGAGTAACAAGCCATGCGGGGAGCGTACAGGTGAACACTTTTCCCAACACCGGGGTCGGTGCGTCAGATGGCCGAGCAATCATAACGCCAACATCCAACGCACGTTATGAGATTGCAGCCATGAACGACGCAAATGTCGGCCATCAAACAGTCAGCACACCACATGCAACGATCCCCAATGAAGGGGGGAGCCGTGAATATTCATGGGCGTGCAGTAGCATAGCGACTGCATCCAATAAATGCTACAGCCCCCTTCGCATGAACCACCCGTATCTACTTTTGTCTCTGATGATGGGTTCGAGCAGGAATCCGAAACGTCAGGCTAATAAAGCTCTTGTCTCAGAGATCGTGTGTCCTTCTTTATGAAAATGATAATCGCTGGAGTTGATCGAAAAAGGGCCAAGATTACTGTTTACTCGAACTTCTGTACCTCAGATACAACTTTAGCGCTCCACTAATAGCCGATTGAGCACACTAAGGCGGCCATTAGAGTCCTGAGAAATCAGGATGCGACCTGCATATCAAGACATCGTAACCGCTTCATTCTCAGCCAATTTCTGTTGAAACGGTCGGATGGAATGTGCTCAGTGGGGAGGGTGGGGATTAATGGTACGCTGGGGGGTACGCTGAAGAACGTCCTCCGTAAACGGCCTGCCCGTGTCAGTATTCCCGCGCGAACGATGAAGTCCATCAATCAGTATTGCCCCCTGCACATGAGCTGATACGCCTTGGGATCTGTTCCCCGGTGGCACCGATCTGGGACATTTGACCTACACACTTGAGCTGGTGTTGTACTTTTTGGCTTGGAATGCGCCCTACTGGGGAAGTTGTCTAACGGGACCGCCTCCACCTAACCTTTTTCCTGTGGTTCAATTTTGGAAATGATTTTGTTTTTTTTGTCGAATGACTAAAGTTACCGACCTGACTGCATGACACGTGTTCCGGACGTTTCGTTGCTGAGTTACGTACATGATCGATCCGTCTGATCCAGCATGGCCACACTCGAGACGCAGTCCAGCGCCAAGGAATTGCGACTCACTCTCCGCCTGGCGCGTCCAACTTGGACGCTCGGCGTCATGGGGCGAACGCACTTTCACAAACTAGGGCACCTATACTTCTTTAATTTTCCACTTGACCAATCACAGACATGCACGCGTGGCTAGCTAATCGAAAAGTAGACGGACAGTGCGACGACCGCTCGACCGTCGTAAGCGACGACATTCACCCAGTGTCCCACGATATAGGTTCAAAAGACATGCACCGCATCTAATGCTACAGGAAGTGACCGATTTCATGAAATGTTGGCTGAACTTCTGAAATGCGTCCTCAAGTAGGAGGGATTACTTAGGCGCGGTTGTAATACTGATAGTCCCACGCATATTCCTATAATATTTCGGACTTGGCAGGATGTCGGCTTTTGAATGCACTGCTTTCAATCTGCTGTAGAAAGCGCACTCAGGAAAAGTGACTACTTAAGTAGAACACATTTTTCCCATTGATTTTTGATGGCCTTGCAAATCAAAATATATTTTATAGAAAACACAAGCAAAAATATGCTTATTTCAGTTGTTCGATAGAGAATAACGTCATCTTTATACGCGAAGAAGGAGTATAATCAGGTTTTAAAAAAGTTTACTTATTATGAGATTTTTAAGATCGTAAAATGTCCACTCATAACACATCGTACCTGTGTTTTTACCACTGCTGCTCATGAAGTGTGCAACACTGTCCGTATCCATTGCGGAATTTTATGCATTCTGTTTGATATCTTCTTAAAGACGTAGAACAATGTGATTTTCTTTACGCGGAACATATGCACCTCACAGACTTAAATCGCTTAGCGCTAGAGCGATGACCGGTCAGGCTCCAAATTATTCGGCAATTAGAAAACTTTTTAAAAACCTGATTACACTCCTTCTTCGCGTATAACGATGACGTTATTCTCTATCGAACAACTGAAATAAGCATAGTTTTGCTTGTGTTTTCTATAAAATATATTTTGATTTGCAAGGCCATCAAAAATCAATGGGGAAAATGCGTGCTACTTAAGTAGTCACTTTTCCTGAGTGCGCTTTCTACAGCAGATTGAAAGCAGTACATTCAAAAGCTGACATCCTGCTAAGTCCGAAATATTATAGGAATATGCGTGGGACTATCAGTATTACAACCGCGCCTAAGTAATCCCTCCTAATTGAGGAAACATTTCAGAATTTCAGCCAACATTTTATGATATCGGTCAGTCACTCTATGTACCGGCTCTCTGCCAGGTCAGCTCGCATTTTCCATGCACGAGAGTGCCAAAAAGGTCACTGTGGGGTCTTATTTCTTAACCGTAACTGTAGTAGACAAGCCCCAGCCTGACCCCTAATCCCTAACCCTAACCCTTACTCCACCCCTAAACCTCTAACCCTAACCCCTAACAGGTACGGCTACGAAATAGGATCTTGCCAAGGTCACATGAAGAAGGAGATGTTGAGATTTTATTCTTGGTCGTCTGTCAGATGACAACCATTCGAGGAAAGACTCTTAGCGTATCGAGGTAGATTAACGCGCGCTAGGAATGCGCTGGAGTGACGCGGGGATGGACTCCCCAGCGTCGCTCTGGTTACCCCTTCCCCCTATCTCATGCAACAGTTGACTGTCTGGGGATGTCAACCAAACAGTAAGGGGGTTGGAGGCAGTAGCTGACGCAGGGTGAAGGCCAACGTCTTGGGCGCACCACCAAATTCATGTATAACAGTAGTTAGGGGTTCTTGCAGACTGAGCGTAGCTCGATAAACGCGTGCCGTGAGGCAGTCGTACCCAGCCCAGCCCGTTGTGGGAGCCACTGCGCCAACCCACCTAGACACTCGCACCCGTTCGACCCGCCTGCAAAACGCGTGTTACCGAGTCGGTATTTTAAGGCTCCGACATAAAATAAAGCCTTTTTATTGGTGCCTGTCCTTCTTTTACACTGAGCTTGACCTGTGGTAGCAGTCATTAAAGCGGGCTAACTTTGGACTCCAGGCAAGGTCGCATCAACACGCCTGCGTCTTCAAAGACAATCCTCGCTGGCAGAATGACATTACTGGCAAGGGCAAGGGAGATTGGAATGTCCATTTCTGCTTTGTTAGCCGTCATCAGCCAATCATACCCGACCCAGGCGGGCAATCCCTGAGACCTGGACTCCTGACCTCCTAATTAGAAATCCAACGCCCCAACCATTGAGCCACGGGCTCGTTGTCCAGTCAGTTGCGATCGGTGAGCACCCCTCAAATATAGCGCAGTCAGTGGTCGATGTTTTTTCAAGTAGAAGGCAAAGTTTATCTCCATCCTCGTGTGTACGTGTGTGGATTATATATTCCTTGTCATCAATATGGGATATCTCAGACTTTGGTTAGATGCAGCAAGAGTAATTGCAGCATTCAGTTGAGAATGCCGCATCGGGACTGAGATGGGGTTCAGGGCTAGGCCATTTTCTTTTCAGAAACAACTTGGGGGGGGAGGGTACTTACTTGAGAAAAGCCCGCATAATCTTTGTCACAACTTCAGACAGGGATGCGAAGAAGTCCAGAAAGGGTTGCCCCTTCTCCTTGCTGGCGCGAGCCGCTGCGCCAAATACAATCGACACAAACAGTACACCTTGAATAAGAAGAAAAAAGTGGTTAAATCAAGTATTCCAACTGCACTCAGAGGTGAAAGCTCAAATCTTTTACGTCGCCTACCGAATTTCCCGGTAAATATTTTTCCTAAGTACACGTACATACGTCAAATTCACCACTCCCTCACCCCCACCCCCGACATTTACCGTATCACGCGCACTGACGCTTACCCAATCGTCACCTGCTGCCTTCTCAAGGTCAGCTAGTGCCACATTGCTCAGTCTGACATCTGATTGGCTCTCCAGAGGTCATGGGCCGGTGACGCAGTTTGCGACACCAATACTTTTTACAGGCAGATGCAAAAGTCAGCAAAAAGCCAGGACGTCCGCCGCTAAGACCAAACCAAGGTAGGCGGATCAGCACATCTCTTAGATCGGATCTTAAAACATCCCTATCGTACATCCACTTTGTTTATTTAAGCAAGTTACTTTACTGAACTCTAAGTCATGCGAAGCCAAGCCGATTAGTACAGGCTTGTGCAAAATTGGCAGAGGGCAGAGTCAGACGGAAGACTGCTCATAGCTCAACTACATCAATGGGCCTTTAGGCGATTTCGTGCTTTCTCAAACCCAAAAAAGATGCTGTTCGCTTTACAACGACAGTATGGCAAAAGATCACGCGACCTAAGAGGACATAAAATGGCACGAGTCACGAATACTGCTAAATTCTATGAATATGGTGTCGCATTAGGTCAGATGTGGTTATGTAGCCGCACCTGGGGTAAAAAACTCCAGCCACCTGTAATACGGGACTGATGGTAATAGGTGTTTTTACAGGTGGGGCCGGGGAACGCACAGGCGACGAGGCCAAGTAATTGTATGCAAAAGAAAATCTATTGGGAATGTGCAGTTGTACTTTTAGTGGTTGAGAATTAGTTTCCCTAAGCCCTAACCCTAGCCTTGACCCTTACCCTACTATAAAACTGCAGCTGACGCTAACCCCTACCGCTAACTAAACGTTAGCCCTAACCTTAACTCCAACTTTAATTTTACTGGAAGTTGGCTCGAAGCCACCCGTATTGCAGTTGGCTCCTGTTCTCCTGTTCTACTTAGACGTCAACATAAGTCGGTCCTATACTTCTTGGTATTCCATGGTCGAAGGGTGCTGGTACCATTAGGAAACTAGGAGTCACTCTCCAGGTTACTCGGTTTGCCGGACCTCAGTCATATTGCTACGATGGAACCCTCTCTCTGGTGTTCTATGGCTGATAATTCCCTCAACGAAATGACCTTCGTTGACCGCGTTCCGCTTTCCATCAATAACGGAGTCGTCTGGCAGTCAGCCAAAAGGTCACCGGGCATCTAAAATCCACCCCGATATCTGCTACCCAAACAGCAATTGTGAAGGGCCTTGAGTATTTCACCAAACGCAACACCTTAAACATAAAAACCCGCAGTTATTTTTCTGTACCCCCCTAAACAAGAACTCGCCAATGGCAGCAAAATACTGCTTACTAGGATGACTTAGAAAACCTACCAATCATATTGGTCCCGGGTTTGTTTGAAACAGTTGTTTTTTCCATTGTCGTAACGTTGACCACTTCAGTTCGAAACTAAAATTTAAAAAGATTATTTTCGCGTGAACCATTAACCGTTTCATTAAAACGCCACCTGCAAGTGCGGCTCAACAGGTCTTAGAGGTCAGGAATTACAGAAATAAACGTTGAAGATCCATGAATGGGTAAATGGGTGGGCCGGCTCCTTATGCAAACCAGATCATTATGACCTCATCGTAGACCTCCTTAACGTCTTCGACTCACATGAGAACTGGAGTAAAATACGTGCGTCTAACCGGATTCAGTCATCTATAAACCGACCTCAGGCCTACAAACCTCAGAATTTAAACCCCAGTAAATTGTTCGTGGAGGCTTAAATCGGACACTCCGTTTGTGCGAACTGTAAAATGTTTGCTACAAGACAAACGAATACCACCGAGCAGAGCGAAAATGCGAGTCCCAGGAAGTGTTTCTTACTACACTGAAACAAGATCGACGTATTTCACTGCGCAATCAGAACAGGTAGATGACTACCCCTTCCATGCGGTTTTCAAAAATGGACTGTTTCTTTTCAACATCGGAATCATTTTTGGTCCTTCTTAGGTCAATTTGCAACATAAATCTAGTTACAAACGTGGGTTAAATGTTTGAACGCACAATATAAAAGTTGGTGTTACCTGAAATATAGTCACTCCAACAATGTTGTCGGGGAAGAGGTTGCTAAAAGAAAGGGCGAGAACAACGTTAGTATGTTGCCACTTGAACGGCTGCGTAAGAACATGCCCTAACGAGCCCTTTAAAGGCTTCACCTTCACTCACGGTCCGACTATGAAACCACATGGACAGTCCGTTTGGTGCCAAAGGAGTACTAGGAGACCAACCCGCCAAAGTACTGCCGCGATCAAGTGCATTGAAAGTGAAATGCACTCTTTACACACTGCCACCAGACATGCAGGGCTCCCTTTTCACTTTTTTCTCCTCAAAACAACCACAAAGTTCCGCAAAGGCCACTTTAAACATTTAAAACGATAAAAATTTGGCGAACAGGTGTATTTTTCTGTTTTTTGGACGGACAAAGCGCTTGTAAAAATTTTGCCTGCGGTGGAGTTTGATCTCCTCTACGCGTGCCTTAATGCACAACCCGATGTGCCTTAGGGGCCAATCAGGTGCTTTCGCAGGGAGTCAAATAGTGACCAATAATATTAGCAGGAGAGGAGTAACGGTGAACGCCCTGCCATCGTGGTTGCTATTCCTGATCCCAAGCGACAAGGCAACTGATCCGTGGCTCAGTAGTAGAGCATTGGACTGCTCAATTTACGATGACCTGGGTTCGAATCCCAGCTCATTCAGGTCTGGAGTTAGGTGGGGTTGGCTGATGACGATTTGTAAATCAGAAGGTGCCATCCTAGCCCCTCTCTCTGTTGTCCTTGTCGACACTTTTCTCCTGAAAACACACTACTTCTGGCTGGCTGGCGGCAGTTAGTGAGTCAAAAATAGCCATCCTACTCCCTCTCCCGTATTTGCCAGTATTCCTGTCCAGGAAATATGCTACTTTTGGCATGTTGCACTAGATTTGAGGACAACGGTAGGGTGTAGGACTCCAATTGACTTGAGGTAGCCTGTGAACCGTTTTGCATACGACACCTACATGCGGTTCTAAACTTGACCGTTACCTTGAATTCTTGACCAAATGAAAACTTAGCATTGGCGTTAAACTCAAATTCCGTTTACTTTTGAAAACTGCATTTTGCTCATTTTTACTTATCGCGCTCACCTTCGTTGTCACAAGACGGCGTAAAATAAGACTTTCGACGGGAATGTAATTATTTTCTGTGTTTTATTGTATCCCGTCTGCTCTCTCTCCTAGGTTTTGCCCCACCCGTAAATCCCCCTCTACTACAATTTCCGTATGACACGGTCCACTGGCTACCTCAAGTTAGTTGGGGTCATACACACCACCGTTGCCGATTCGAGTCGGCTCCAAGTACTATTTCGTAGGTTACAACCTCAACCAACAAAGCAAATGGCAACTTACTAAAACATGTCACGAAAAACATCCGAGGCTGTGAGACCGGTCCCTGTTAGGGCATTATTTCCAGATGATGAGGGCGGAGTAATCAGTTGTCTGCTTCCTAGAAAATAAGAACACGTCAGAACTTTCAAGCACTCCCTAAAATTAAATTAAACAAAAAGGGATTAGAAGCTATAATCTGCGTCAGTGCAGAATATACAAACGAAAATCAGATACCACTCCTAACGGCTAATACGACCCGGAAGTAAAGATTTGTGACTAGGCGGCGTGAGTGTGTCCCTGTCTGTGCGCTACCGTCGTCGGGTCAGATCCCAAGTTGTAGGGAGACAAAAAGCACCAGAATGAGGGGTTTATTGTACACAGAACCGGGAGTTGTCCTCTCAGGCGGCAGTGGCCACTGGCGAAGCCAGGGCTGTTGTTGACTGCATCCAGTCATGCCTGAGAGCCCCTGAAATAGTGGTGGCAGCCGCTTTTGCAGGCTCGTGGGCCAAGCTCAAGCGGTGGCCAGTCAGTATGCGTTGCAGTAGCTGAGGGGTGGTGTCCCAGTGGCTTAGGTTGTGGTTGCTGGGAGGGGGGGGGGAGGAAGGTGCGTTCAAGCGGTCTCATGGGCAGCTGCGGCCGTGTGGACGCAGATATGCCCGAGCTGTCGGTCGTGTGGCTTCAGGTCAGCGCGCCTAGAACGGCTCACTGCAAAAGGGTGGATGACCTTGAGGCAGCGAGGTCTTGAACAATGACGCCAGACCGGTCATGATGGCCTCACGCTACAGATTAGACGTTAGGCAGCCATTGCTCCCAATTTAAGAAAAAGAGTGACACGCAAAATTTATGCAGAAGGCGGGTCCAACATTTCTGATCGAGCGTCGCACATGTCAAGAGCCCATGCGACGGCCATGACCCAATTTGATGGCCTCTAAAATGTACGACGAGGCCAGTCCCATCTGTCTTCTCATGTCCATAGAAAGCACTACAAATTACCGGCGGGTAAAGTTGGCGTTCCGGCGTCTCGACTTCTGGCTGGTGAGCTGAACACCCTGGTCACTTCATCCGGGGCGGTATCGGAGACACTTAAAGGGGCAAGTTTCCTGCTATAGGAAGTCATGGCATCTTCTGGCATCATGTCCGTATCTGCTTTTTTCTCTGATGATGCGTTCGAGCAGGAATCCGAAACGTCAGGCTAATAAAGCTCTTGTCCCAGCGATCGTGTCTCCTTCTTCAAGACTAATTCCTGGGACTCGTCTCTTCGCTTCTATTGGCATCACGTCCGTGTCTACTTCAATTCCCCAGGATCTGCTTGAATCTTGCAAGTGCTAAAGTTCTACCGCAAGGCCTACTTCACGTTTGCCGAGACAATTAACGAGCAGATGAAAGACACATCAACTGGTTCGCCGATTTGTGCATTCGTGATCAATGCGCTTTCAAGGCAGTTGGACTGACCAGTCTTTCAGCACCGCACACGAAAATTTAGGGCTCGATCTGTAGGCAGTGGTTTTGGAATCATCGAGCGGGATCAACAACCATCTTAACACGGACTTCCCATACATATATTTCCCGGTGGGGATGGGCGGTCGCAACCAGAAGTTACTCCTTTGTGTCCACTTCTGCTGCAAATATTGTGATCGCATAGAAACCAAAGTTTAGGAAAGAAACAAATACCACGCGAGGTCTGAGCTTCAACCACAAACGCAGTTACGTAAGAACAGTATCGGTGCGTTGGAACGCGCTGCAGTAAATCAGACGACACGGTTTCAAAATCACAACACTTTCAACGGATGATCAGGACGAATGCTTACTGGTGCAAGTGCAGAAGACACAAGGAGGTCAAATTTCATCGCAGTCATATTTTTGCAAGCGCTCCGTACGTCCGGAACGTCTCAGAAGCCGTCAACCGCCTTCTCACGTCACTCGGGGCTGAGGTTTAATAAAAAGGACCGAATGCCACCATCAGGGACCAAATAATGAGGCCGACGGACACCTTGTCTCGTTCGAAGACAACTTGAATCAGAGAGCACGAGAGGACGCGAATGACCGAGCACGCAGCAACAGCGAGGGGTGGGGCCAGCTCTCGTGGCGCGTTTCATTTGACGTGACCTAGCCACACGCTCAAATTGTACGAGAGGCGTAACAGTCGCGTGAGTTGTCAGTTGCTTGCATTCCAAGTCTCCGACTCGCAGTCAGTTAACAAGCGCAGCTCTATCTCCCCTTAATACTCAGCCCTGAGACTTCTCACGAACAAAGTACACAGTAAAGCAGGAAGCATGAGAACTAACACTACCTCCATTGACAGCATCGGCGAGTCAAATTGCCGATTAAATAGTACACTAACAATTATTACTGCTACTGAAATGGTGACAGTCACCAACTACGGTGTGAATAGTTGAGGCGTTACTCCTCTCACCATAACAACCATCGATATATGCGGTTTCTGTTTAATTTAGTAAATGCTTGACGACATAGTGACCACCTCCCATGCATACAACAAACCCTTGAGCTTCCCCTACTCATATCTCCTGTTGCCTCTGATGAGATGCCCGCTCAGACTGTCGAGTATTTCTCTTCTAAATTGCCTCCTGGAAGCCGCCTTCTGGCCCCCATCGGGCGGTCGGTTTACCATTAGTTTGTACTTTTTTACATGTGTTGCATCATGTACACCAATTCCTTGTCAGACTACACCTGTAGCGGGCAGCCAACATGACCGGTCTGGTGTCAGTGTTCACGACCTCGCTGCCTCAAGGTCATTCACCCCTTGCAGCGAACTGTCTCAGACGAGCTGACCTGACGCCACTCGACCGACTTCACCTCGGACACAATTGCGTCCACACAGCGTCGCGACTACCCATGCGGCCACTTGAACGCGCCACCCCCTGCAACCAGCAAAACAAGCCACTGGGACACCACCGCCCCGGCAACTGCAACACACACCGACTGGACACCACTTAAGCTTGGCCCACGAGCCTACAAAAGCGGCTGCCACCACCGTCCCAAGGGCTCTCAGGCATGACTAGCCAGGCTTCGCCTGTGGCCACTGTCGCCTGGGAGGACAACTCCGGGTTCTGTGCACAATAAGCCCCACATTCTGGTGCCTCCTGTCTCTCTCCTGTCAACATAAGATTTAACCTGGTGACGGTAGCGCACAGACGTCCCACTAACACCAGCTAGCCCCCTGCACACCCTTTTAATTAGCCGAGAGCCACTTTCAACCGTCAACTCACACACGCTGCAGTGCATCATCTCATTGACAATATCACGACAGAAACGTACCTGGTTTGATAATTGAGGCACAGACTGTGCCGATGACTGCGCCCAGAAGATTTATCAGGACCACATAGGACACCCCAATAATGCTGATCCGTCCATTTTTCTTCGGATCCAGAGCAGCAATCACTAAAAGGGTCAAAAGAGTCGGTTTAACGTTTGATTAAAAAAAAAATAAACACTTCTTTAGGATTTCTACTTGACGCCTGATCATACTTTACCGTTCAGTAAAATGAGTTTCTGGACGCAGCCACAAACGATTATGCTTTCCAAACTCACGTATTTCCAGGAACAGATAGGACCTAGGGCTAATTTGAGCCTCCAATGTATTTGAGGCGAACGCGTGTCATATAACGTTTTCAGTAGCTTAGCTTACATAATGGGTATCCGTAGACCCGAATTAGCGCTTTTGTGAACGCTTAAAAAGCACGCCAGCTGGTGTGTCCTAGGTTTCGCAGGCAGTGCGGAAAACGCAGTGGTGTCCAGTAATAAGGTCCTATTGCTCTTTCCGAAAATTCGCGGGTCTTACCGACATCGAGTTGGCAACCGGGCTGAATCGACTAACAATCAGTTTCCTAAACCATAAAGTCAAAATTACCAACCTGTCTAACGCCCTTCAGTAGAATCCTAAAGGGTCAGTATGAATTAATCCAAATCTGCCAAAAAATCTAAGAATTACGTGAGCCTGGTAGTCGTCTGGTGGATTCTAGGGGAATTACTTAGGAAATCCTGCTTGGGTAGTCAGCTTACTGTATCAGATTTGGTGGATTCCAGACGTTGCAGTAGGTTGGGCGGGTAAACTTGACCCGAATGTGATTAATCTCGCGTCGTCCGGCGGGCCTCGTAGCTCAAGTGGTTAGAACCTTGGCCGTACTAAAGCCTTCCCCTTACTGAATGGGTTCGAATCCCACCGAGGCGCCGAGTTTTTCACAGTTGGGTTAATATAAATTATTTGAAATCTGCCAAAACCATATAAGAATCCAAAAGTTTGAAATTGTCGCCCCTTCCAGAATTTCCGTCAGTTAACCGAAGTTCAGTATATGGCCGTTGTGTTGCAAAAATTACGAAGTAAGACTGACTTTCTTCGTCCTTGTGAGGAAGGCGGACAAAATCCCCGCTGACTTCCGATGAAAGGAACATCTGCCCAAGAGAATCGAGGTGCTTTTGTTGCAGTCGTGTTCCACCGACTGCGGCGCACACGGTGAACCAGAGGATTTAAAAGCCTCGCGAAAGTGTGCCATGGCATACACTTGCTATGGATGCGATGGCTTGACTGGTAAAACCCTTTCGCGTGTTATGTGAACTCTTTTCTAGTTTACGGATGATTTCATCACGTTCGCGTACCTCCAACATCTTCGTAGGCCTTCAATAAGCCGTTCTTCCCAAGTTTTTTATTCCTTCCCACCTTCATATTTTAGTCACAAACCCCAGTTATCGTGCCACTGTCAACCAGACTTCAGCGTCCTAGTTCTAATTATGGCGACCTCCAAAAATCGCATCTGAAAGCACTCTCTCACGCTTATCTGAACTGCGCCGTCGTCTATGTCGGTTCACTGCATCCACGTTTGTGTGGCTCTGGCATATAACGTCCTTCACGTGCACTGCACTGAGAATCAGGCTCAATGACGGGGCGCTACCACGTGTTTGAGATCCAAGCTGTCCTTGAGGACCAATCCGTGTGTGTGTGGCATGCATAGAGGAGCTGTTCATTTTTTGTCAGCCACCAAAACTGTCGTTGTTACGACACTGTCTTGCAATCGGTGCAAAGTGGGCGGAAGAGGAGCGAGTGCAGCAGGCACTGTGCAAGCCCGCCTCTTTATAAGGTCCTACATTCGCAGGCCACCGGTTTTGCATTCACTTTGCGGGGCACATGACGTCTTTCTGCACACAGTTTATACCCTTCGCTGATCGCAAAAAACTTGGCCTTATCCCGTCATGCAGAAGATTGATGCGCACTTCCCCTCCATCCCATGCTGCAGGTCAATAGGCCTAAAATGGTAGAGACTCGTTCCGCCTTATAACAAGCCGTTGCGTTGGCAAGATTGAAATATAACCAGCCCTCTTTCCCCTCCCCTCCAACTCCGACACCCCCATGTGGTTTCTCATGGTGCTTCAGTTACCAAAACTGCCTGTATAGATCCATCTACGGTCGTTGCAATACAACTTACAGTCAACTAACGGGACCTGAGTTCATATAGCGAGTAGTAGAGCATTTGACTTGAAAATACTGGACGGAAAACCTACTCGAATTTAGCTGCCAGGTGTCCTTCCGGAGTTGTAGCATGGTCGGTTTGGGATGGTCCGTGTGCGTTTGAGGTAGCAACACTTGTTGGATTGGATTGAATTATAGCTACGGCCTCACCCAGAAAGTAATTTGGAACGTTTAGTCCACCAGAGAACATTATTGGCCTCTGTCACGCATTAGTCTAGGTGCGTTAAGTTTGTATGAGTCCTCAACTACTGCCGTATATGAGTGGGACAGAAGCACGGATAAATGGAAACTTCAAAGAGAGATTGTTGAACCCAACCCCATTACCTTACTACTGGTAGAGGGAAGTGGTCTCGCCTCTTAAGGGAAGTCTAATGCACTTTTTCTATACTCCTAGTTAAAGTTTATTTAGCGTGAAGGAAGGTGGGACGACTGGGCGATAGATACCACAATTAAGTCGGTGAATCAGCCATTATCATAAGTGGTCTGGAGCACTATTTTAGGAAAGAGGGAAGGAAGACGGAGACACGATCGCTGGGACAAGAGCTTTATTAGCCTGACGTTTCGGATTCCTGCTCGAACCCGTCATCAGAGACAAAAGCTGGTTGATGCACAAGGGGCCGCAGTATTTATACGATGCAGTCGCCATGCTACCGCATACCTATGAACATTCACGGCTCTGCCCTCCATCAGGGATCGTTGCACTTAGTGTGCCGACTGTTTAATGGCCGACATTCGCGCCGTTAGTTGCTGCAATTTTAGTACGTGCGTTGGATGTTGGTGCGATGATTGCTCGACCACCTAACGCATCGACCCTGGTGTTGGGAAAAGTGTTCACCTGTGCCATGGACCACCCGTATCTGCTTTTGTCTCTGATGATGGGTTCGAGCAGGAATCCGAAACGTCAGGCTAATAAAACTCTTGTCCCATCGATGGTGTCTCCTCCTTCAAGACTGCTTCCTGGGACCCGCCTTTTCGCTCCTATTGACAAAGAGGAAATGGCTATAAGTCAACCCAACCGACAATGCCCTGTTAGTCACCATGCAGCCCCTGCGCGTGAAGTCTACATCTGGAGATCCATGGGCGTGGAAGGAAGGACTACTGTGGTCCTCCCGTCAGGATGCATCGATGAACGCCACTTTTAAGGTACTTCAAGTGCTTGGCACAGAGTTGTAGAGCCTCGTCGACGCTGGCGAAAAGCACACCTAGCAAGCCGTCTAATGGAAATTGGGATGGGGGAGGGATCAGACAAGACCTCGGTCTCCGGTCCGCAGTGTCACCCCTACAATCGTGACGAACAATCAATGTGACACTCGCGGGTTCTTTTTCAATCTTCAGTCCTATTTGAACAAGTTATTTGGACAAGCAGTGGGCAGTAGAGGCAAAGAAAACAGCCCGCTGCTTCCACTAGAATATAAAAAAACTGCTGCTTGAAATTCATCCTTACGCAGCTCAACGTCCGTATTGGGCCATAGACGTCGGAAATGTTACTTTTCAAATTTCGCCTACTCAGGTTGCAGTAGCACAGGCAACCTTTAGCTATCTACACTGAAAAGGATACACTTGAATGCATATGTTCATCATCTTTGTTTACTTTGGAGACAATGTACCTCCCAAAGTCCCAAAAAAACCCTGGTAGTTTTCCACGGGAAACATAATGGGACTTCACTTTAAACAGAGATGGTGCAATATTCAGTAGTAGTTGCGTTAGAGTGGTATTGGGCGTTTCCGTGTCCACAGTGCGATCAGGGGATTCATTTCAAGGGGATGGGTGATTATACTTCAGCCTGGCCGTTCCCTCGTACACCTTCTCTACCGATAACAGACATTAACTGCAGGTGCCCTCGGTGGGTAGTTATTTTTCGCCGACCTGGTTTCAGCGCCGGGGTATCCTCCACCGTTTTCCTCGTAATTATCCCGACTCAGGGATTTGAAGACTAAGACGCAACCCATCAGTGCGGCACTAGCATCAACAAGTTTAATTTTGGCTGTGTGTTTGCGGATTCCGTTCCATGGTGTTTAATTTGGAGGCGGATGCTTTGACTGGGGGTAACTTTCATGGCCAATCAGCGTTCAGCGTCGTTCTCATCCCGAGCGACAAAACAAATAATCTCATGCTGTGCCAAATTATTGTGATTGCAACGGGGAGCGAATTTAGATGGATTAAGCAAGGAGATAAAAACCCATTTGAAGAATTAAATACCAGATTAATCTCGAAGTATCAGTCACGAAAATAAAAGTACTACTATAGCACCGCGCTCTTTGGAGTGGGTCAGTACGTGGTTAATAAGATTTAAAACTGGCTTTTTCGAGGCTAAATAGCTTAATGACTGTATCAGGAAGGTATAGATGAGTAATTTGCAGTTATTTACTAGTCTCCTGCTAAGAGTATGAGGCGCTATTTAAAATGTTGGTTGGGCGCTCACCGGCCTGGTTACGAGACGTGCTCGTTCCGCGTCATTCTGCCATAATTAATAGACACGATCAAAACCGAGAAGACAACAGATCCTTGACTCAATGGTAGATGGCTGGATTGCCTAGTACCCAGTGGCCAAAGAGCCTGAGTTCGGATCCCGTGCCATCCAGACATGTGGTTGGGCATAGCCAACTGACGACGGCTAACAAACCAGAAACGACCGTATCGCCCTTCCCTGTATTTGTCGTTGTCCCCTTATTAATTGCTAGTTTTATGAGTAGAACAAAACCCAAGCTTCAGGAATACTGCGTCCGGTGTTCTCTGTCACCATGACTACGTGTGCACGGACAACTTAAAAGCAGCAGTTCTGTCAGCAGTTATCGTAAGATACGGGGAGCATCAAGCGGTAATGGAGGTTGAATTGAAGTTCCTGTTAGATTGTCCAACAAAAATCCGCTAAGTTGAAGAAGCCGTGGACGGTCAGCCGGTAAACAGCCATAAATGTAGGTAACAAGCATCTAAAATGTTCGATAGGGGATTTATGAGTAGTGGCAGGTAGCCTGCCGGAAAACAGGTCCTCCAATGGCTGAATAGACTTCGATCGGTTTCGGTTGACCCACGTAGGAGCATCAGTAATTTGCGCCGTCAAAGTGCAAAAAAGTCTTCTGCCGGGGCGCAATCTACTGATAAACGCCTATGTGCCGACCTTGTAAGTTTAACCGTATAGTTCGAACAAAAAGCTCCGGCCTTACAATTTTGGCGAGAGAATAATCAAGTTAACCAATCATGTCGTGATCTTCGGGGCACAGTCAGACACATTATTGTTTAATGACCGCCAACGTGACTAAGACGTTCATTCTAACCTGCTAGACCTCTGTCCAGAGAAGAGATTAGGAGTTTTACTTTCCACGATTTTAATGAGACACGACCACACCTTTAATGACAGAAGCCCTGTAGAGGGACGTAACGCGCTATCAGTAGAGAACTATTACTCTGTCACTGAACTTTATGCGACCGTACGTTTATTCTGACCTGCTAAACGCCTGTCCAGAGAAGAGATTAGGACTTTTATTACCCACGAGGATTGCATTACAACGCACTCTTATTGTCCACTTTATTGAGGGGACCGGTTTAACCAGGCAGGACCTTTTATGAAAGTAGTGTTGCGGAGAGGTAACTCGCTATCATTAGAGAACTATTACTCTTCCACTGCACGTTATACGACCGTCCAAAGAGATGAATGTGCCTAATTCAGGTTAATTCGGGTCGGAAACTGGAAGGCTACACCGGAAGCAGATGGTCGAGAACGCAGTAGCAGCAGCGAGGAGGAACGACGCCAGCTCCCACGTCGCGACTCATTCAAGGGACCCAACCACACATTCAAGTTTGACGAAGCATAAATTCTTATTAGAGGCAAAAACTGCGTGAGCCGTGAACTGCTCGAGTCATGATTTTCCGGTCCTCAATTAATGAACAATCGTAATGACCTCCCCACTCCATATTCGTCGCTGACACTTTGCCTAGGCAAAGCGGTTAGCCGCAAAGAGAGCGTGCGGATGAGTACTGTTCCTGGTGTCAGTGTCAGCGAGCCAAATTGCCCAAGAGTCCACACAGATAACGAAATTCGGCAGTAAGCAACTCGACTGTTTGCGATGGGCGTGAGAGTCGACAATCTTCACTGGCACACGGGCACATAGGAATTGCATACTTCGAATTCTGGTCAGTGAAGCTGTGACGCACTCGGCAGCTGCCAACTGTGATAGCATACAGCGGCCTAGCAGCTCCTATAAATGCTGCGGCACCTGGTCAATCCACTACCCTTACCTGACTCCGTCTCTGATGATGGATTCAAGTGAGAATCCGAAACGTCAGGTTAATAAAAGTCTTGTTCCAGTGATCGTGTCTCCTTCCTTGCGACTAGGTCATGCATTCGCCCCGCAACAGTAGGGCCACCAACCGCGCGGAATAACGCCGCAGGACCTGCTCGGTCGCATCGACCGTGTAGATATTAGCCAAAGGAGTGGGAGATATTGTGCCTTAAGTGACTTGAATAAATCCCACCTGACCCATTTTCGAAAAAACTGTAAGCCTCCGTGGGAGTTGAACTCACGACAGAGAGTTCAAGGTTTGCGCACAACCGACGCTCTAACGACCCGAGTTTCGAGGCTCCGACCGAGAGGCACGATGCTTTTAGTCACATCTATTTATTAAATAATGCTTTCCAAAATATATGAGACATCCGCCAGGCCACCTCTGGGGCGGGTGATCTAAACCCCGGAGGCCTGGAGAAATCACGTTTTTACATTTCACAGGAAACAGCTATGATATCAGATCCGTGCCAAAATTTATACACATATGCATATATAAGGCCCACGACGTACTGATGATTGGTAACGACCGTGAAACAGCTGTCTGCGCCTGGCCTGTGGCGCTTTTAGTTAGCTGCTTAATATATATATATATGTCGGTAATACCATTCTGCCTATATATCATGCGCCGCTGTGCGGCTGCTGGTTGGGCTCGAGAGAGAGCCCTTAAGGCACAACGGAACGAGTGAGTTCCGTATGAACGATCGGTGAGCGCCCCCTACCATTATATACATATATGGCATTAATGACAAAGACAAGGGAGACTGGAATGGCCATTGCTGGCTTATTAGCCGTCGTCAGCCAGTCATACCCAACCCCGAAGTGTGGAACGCCCGGGCGCCCCCTACCATATATATATATATATATATATATATATATATTATGACAGTGGGCGCTCGCCGATCAGGTTACGGAACATGCTGGTAAAGGGGCATTCGATGAACTCGTTACGAGGTCAGTGAGCAGAATAACACTACAAGAAGGACAAAGGCCTTCACCAGTCAGCTGTACTCAACCCCAGGCTTTGCAACCTTAAAACTTGAATCTGCGTTCTATTGTTTAGGAGTCCAACGCCCCAACCATTGGACCACGAGCTCATTTTACTGCCGCTTGCCATCCTGTAAATTGATAATGAACGGTGATCTGCCTGTCGAGACATTTACTTTACACTAAATCTCCCAAGTCTGGTCTGTCCACTAGGATGTTTAATGGCATTTATATGAAAAACTGTTGCATGCGGGTGAAGTAAAAAAATACAAGAATAAACAAACCCAGGAGAATGTTCGAAGCGATCAGCGGAAGGATTGTCAACTGAAGAAGTCGTAGGTAGATATCCCCTGGCATTGCTGAAACAATTTGTAAAAAGCCAAAATGTGAAATTTGCCGAGGACCGCTCGGTATGTTACTCCTTTGCGTTCTTCCTATCAACCCCGAAGTGGCTTTCTACCTTATCCAAGTCCTCGCGATTTATGCGATATTTTAGCCTTAGCGTGCATTTTTACCGCACTTCTTCTCGTGCATGCACTTACTCATGGCTTGGGGTTTGTATTCACACGATTTCAAGGTAAATTCAGATTCTGAAATCATATTGTAAACACAGGATAAGGAGAGCTTGAAAATTGACCAGCAGCCCATTTTAACACGCCTGTTTGGGTACACATCGAACGGCCCCCACAAAGCCGAACCGATTCGGGGCTCTGGTGGTGCTGTCGATCAATCAGCGTGCCTTCGCTGTCTCACCCGTTAGTTCGGTGCGTGGTTAGTTGTTGACAGTAAGAATGACCTCAAGAAAAGTTCTGTCTGAGTGTCCGCTTAAAGCGACCGATCTCATGACATGTTCAGTTAGATTTTAAAATGCGTTTTCGATTAATATGAATTGCTTAAGAGGATTTGTAATATTTAGGGGCGCTCACCGATCTATTTTTACGGAACTCACTCGTTCAGTTGTGCCTTACAGGCTCTCTCTCGAGCCCAACCAGCAGCCGCACAGCGGCGCATGATATAGGCAGCATGTTATTACCGACAAAGACAAGGGAGACTGGAATCGCCATTTCTGGTTTATTAACAGGTGTCAGCCGGTTATACCCCACCCCGAAGTGTGGAACACCTGGGGCTCGACCCCGCAACCTGCTAGTTAGAAGTCCACCGCCTTTAATCACTGAGCCACGAGCTCGTTGTCCTGCCGGTTGCGATCGAGAATGCACAATGGTGGAGGGGCGCGAGATCGATCCCCAGGTGTTCCACACTTCAGAGTTGGGTATGACTGGCTCACGACCACTAATAAGCCAGAACTGGCCATTCCGGTCTGCCTTATCTTTGTCGGTAATAACATACTGCCTTAATCCTGCGCCGCTGCGCGGCTGCTGGCTGGGCTTAAGAGAGAGCCCGTAAGGCACAACGGAACGAGTGAGTTCCGTAAGAATGATCGGTGAGCGCCCCCTACCATTCTATTTTCCCGATCGAGACCGACAGGGCAACGGGCTCGCGGCCCAGTGGTTAGAGGCGTGGACTTCTAACTAACAGGTCGCGAGTTCGAGCCTCGGGTGTTCCACATTTCGGAGTTGGGTATGAAAGGTTCACGACGGCCAATATGCCAGAAGAGGCCACTCCAGTCTCCCTGGTCTTTGTCGGTAATAAAATTCTGTCAACACTAATCATCTTGCGGTATAACTGTTTGATATTCCAGGCACGCCAGGATATCGACGTTTGAGCGCATTTCTCTACGACCGCATATAAAAACGGCACTCAGCAAAAGGTGACTACTTAATTAGTATGCATCTTTCTGTTGATTCCCGACGCGCTTTCAAATTCAAATATCTTTTATAGAAAACAATCTTGTTTGTTTACGTTAACTGCAAAACCAGAAGCCCTTAAATTACGCATGTTTTAATCGAAGCACTTTGTTGCAAATATCCCGCCCCAGCAGGGGCGTGTCATAGGGCCAACAGACCCAGCGCTCGTATCTCGAAAGCTTATTCTGAGGCTTCGGTCGCGCTAAAATTAGACCTCATCTGCGGTGTTCGCCGCAGCCAAATTACCACATACTTACAAGTGGTAAAAATCGGTAGAAGTGGGTTGCGATATTGGGTGATGTAAAACACTCTTTCAATTTAATTCGGGCGGCATGGCAGACCGGTTTCCTAATGAAATCTCCCTCAGACAGTTATGGATACTCTGTTCAAGAAAAAAATAGCTGCCTTATCGGCTTATCTTGTCATGATTATTCAACGCTAAGATTAAATGGGGCAACCCTTTTAAAGTGAACCGACTGAGTTTATTTTCCAGGGAAGTCTCGTACGAAGCTGAGTTTTGTTTAAAGTTATACGAGGTAGGTTGCCTCCGAAAAGCCCCCGTCGTTTCGCCGTCTTTTTAAATAGGACGCAGTTTCTACAGTTTCTAAAACCATGTTTTCCGCTTAAAATCATATATTCCTCTATGCCTTTAAAAAACTACACCATAGAGTTCATAAAATTTTGTAATGGATGGAGGCTATGTCACACACACTTCATGACGAACATTGGTAGACGGAGAGGCATGATGTTGTATGAATGGACATTGCACGGTCTTAAAAAGTTCATAAACAAAAACTTTTTAAAACCGAAAGATATCCTCTTTCTGAGTATAAAACGATAAGACAACGTAATTTTCTACCACCCCAGTAAAAGAAAGCATAGTTTGTGCATGTTTCCCATAAATTATATTTAAATATATAGGATCATCGAAAATCAACGTGAAAAAACACATGCTAAATAAGTAGTCATTTTTTAACGAGTTTGGTTTCTGCAGGTCACAAAAAAGTGCATTTAAAAGGGGACATCCTGGTGGGCCCGATTAAGCCGCAAGGTAATAAGTGTTACAGCCACAGTCGAAAGCGCATTTTGGAATCTCGGCCAACATTTCATGAGCTCGGTCACTCGCTGTACATAATGAATTAAAGTTCTAGGCAAAACACTAAATTGCCTCGTTTTCACGAAATGGCGTACTTATTCTTCTTGGAATTAACCTTGCAGAAGACGTAATTACCTCCAAAGAAAATGAAAACAAATAAACTTTGGTGAGTCACGGATAAAGTGAACTCCTGCGTAATGCAGTGTTGGGAGCGGGACTTATTCCCGTATCCCAACACTGACCCTAAAACTTAACCATGATCTCCCTCGAATTTAACAAGCTGCTTCAGTAGCGATCTTTTTCGAGCCGGATCGTCGGAATTGGCTGTAAAATGTCCTTTTGGGAAGCCACCATGCGCGAAATACGTAGTGACTTTGGCTTTTGCTTGGCGCTCAACAGTCGTATACTCCACCTAAGTAACTATGTCCTAGTTGACGTCAATGAGTCCAACCAGTGGGTTTGCCGCGTTTTAAGAGGACATGAAATTAATTCTCTGGCAGCAAACGCGACGTCCCATTATCACTCACGTAACCAGAGTTCTGGCCCACTTGGGGCTTTCCAATGGACTCACAGTCAAACTTATGGCTAAGAGAACTTCAAACTGATTGAACGCGACAAACAGTTATTCCCGCCTCAGGTGGAATGTTAGTTCCACGAGCGAGCTAAACCCTTCACTGCCTGCATTTATAAGAGGTTATGCCTATGGCTCATTGGTAAGATGGCGCCGGTTTAAAACCCTAAATCGTAAGCATAGGAGATTTACAGTCCATCTCGGACCTCATGAAGTGTTAACCAAAACTCTGAAATGTGTTTCCGATTAGAAGTATTTCTCACACAGGACTGTAATACTGATCATCCTGCAGTATAATACCAAGATATTACGCGGACGCTAGGACGCTGGTTTTTAAATGCACTTCTATTTTATTCGCCTGTTAAAAACCACACTCTGTAAAATTGGCTACAATTATGGTACATATATTCTTAATGGATTTTCGAACCCCTAGTACATATAAATATAATTTATTTAGAACGTGTCCAAACATATTCCTTTTAGTGCAACTTTTATACTTGAAAAAAGGTTATATTACGGCTCTGCAAAAGTTTCTAAGAATGAGATTTTTCGGGCCTGTAATGTTTATTCAAATAGCATCGCATCTGTTGGTAAACTGATACTCCCCATGAATTGGCAGAATAGTCCTCATTCATTTCAAAGAGCATGCAAGCCCTGCATGGTATCTTATTGCTAGCATGCAGGAATATGCTTTTTTCTTACAAGAAATGCTACGGCTTGCAGACTAGAAAGCCTAAACGCATATGTGACGGCAGATCAAGCTCAAAAGTATTCATAAAGCGAATAGTTTCGCAAAACCTAACTAACCACTTTTTCTGAGTAAGAAATTTAAAAAGATGTGATTTTCTACCAAATGAGCACCAGAAGGAATATTGTCGTGTGTTTTCTTTTTAGTAAACATGTTTAAGTTTCAAGGCACGTCGAAGATCATCAGAAAAATTTATAAAAATAAAATTTCTGCAGACGACCTTCTGTGCCTGCAGTTTCATGGAATTATCCTTTACGATGACATCTCTGACTGGCGCGTGTGTGAAATAATTTATGATTACTCATTCAATTTTATTATAAATGTATTCTGATCCTAGTTGCGAATGGGAAGAAATCATATAAATTGACTACCAAACTGGCAACTTCCTACGTAGATCACAGCCTCGGTTCTGGCTGCGACCAGGGTCTCTCTACGAGCACAATCCTAACTTGCTCCTATTGGCCTCTGGTGGAGTTAGCCATTTCAAAACAAACTAATTTTCATGTAGAATATCGCATCAATTTTAAGGCTACACCAACACACCAACGTAATGAACTTCGAAACGTGATAACACTTACCAACCCATGTGAGGGCTACGGAGGACGGCTTGGCGGCTCTGACACCAAAAGCGATACCAAAACCCACGCAAACCCCTAAGAGAGTGGCCAAGGTAAAGACATTGTCTCGGAGACACCCTAGGCATTTGTTTTTGTTCTTTTTCGGGAGTTCACTCTCCTCATGTTCCTCAGAGAGTTGGGGCGAGGCGTAACCCGGAAAGTCCGCTGCCATGTTCAACTGGTTCTCCGCGGGCGTTCTGATCGCCCGTCTTTTATGCAGGTCTGTGCGTCGGTACAAAGAGAAGTGCCGTAGCCAGTCAGATTGTAGCAAAAGCACTCAAGGTTCATTGGTTGAGAGCCCACGCCAATTATCAAGGTCATCACTGCGTGGTGAGATGAAAGGCAACCGCGTGATCGCGGAAGTCTGCGTGCATCTACCCGAAACTAGACGAGACTCTGAAAGGGGCGGCAAGAGAGTGAAGGTGAGAGAGAGAGAGAGAGAACGCGAGATTGACGTGGTAGAAAGTGTCCTTTTCTTTTGGCCTCCAGCCTCCCGGCCTAGGCCTTGACACGACAGTCTTTAGGATGCTGGCATCATGTTTCGTCATTCAAATGTTCGAATGAGACCCAAGCATCGATCGATAGCCTAGCTAGTGCGGGTTTTTATTCCCGCGCGTGCCACCCATAAAACTTTTGGCAATGACTGTGACCCCCTGTCAGTTATAATTCTAATTGGGCCACTATCGACGGAATGTCCTTTCGGTAGTTTTCCGCTAACCTTCCCGATAATATGTGATTTTCCTAATAGCAGTGTGTAACCCATTGTAATTTCAACAGCATATCTTCGGAATGATGCGCCTAGGGGTTCCATTTTATTCTGTCATGCTTCGCCTAATGACTGCTTATATGCTACGTATGCTGATGATATGGTTGTTGACCATCCCCTTAAAAGGAGACCAATCTCCATTTTCTGAAAAGTGGTTTTGATTATGTTTCTGCGTGGTCGTTGGGAAATAGTCACCTACTTACTAACCGTGCATCTGTTTATTGTGTGTTTCGACTGCAAACAGCGCTCTGATGTGGTTATATAGATGCACCTGGTAGATAAAATACTGTTGACCTACTTAACTATTTTGAGTTGGTGTGATTGCGTTGGCATGGCCTTGCTGTGCGTTGCGGGGCGTGTTCTTTTGGCGGTCTTGTTTCTTTGTTGTCGTGTCTACTTTCTTCGACCCAATAGCGGTGGTCCTTCTTCGATTTCGGCCTGACGTCTCCTGTTAACTTTCGAGTTGGATGTTTCGGGGTTAGGGTCTGGGACTTCGATTAAGGGTCAGGGTTGGGGTTAGGGTTAGGGGTTAGACATAGGGCTCAGGATAACTATTCCTCAACCAATCAGGGTACAACCACGTATTCCCAATGACTTTTCTCTTGCAAACAATTACTTGGCCTCGTCGTCTGTGCGTCCACCGGTCCCACCTGTAAAAGGCCTTACCACCATTGGTCCCGTATTACAGGTGGTTGGGGTTTGTTTGCCTTATGTGCGGCTGCATACCCACATCTGGCCCAAACACACCTCCCATTTCCCAATTCTTTTGACATTCTCCAACAAAATATAATCTGTCCAGTCTCCTGGTGTTACCGCGTTCTCAAATCTCCCACTATTTATTCATTTCGAAATCCCTTTAAAAGCATGTCCTTCGCCTATTCGCTTCTGCCAATATCCTATCATAACGTGATTTCACAGTGATCATCCAGTTTTCTGATCGGATTCTTGATAACGTCGTTCATCCCCTGACCCTAAACTAATCCCTGGGAACTATTTCCTTCGCACGCTTCGTGACTTCCAGCATATTTCCTGCCGCAAGTCGGTATATCAGCTATCCGTAATGTCATTTTCAGCAAGACATCCGACGCGTGAAGACCGGAAAGGGGAGTTACGTCCGTCCCTATAGTAGTCACCTGGTTTGTTTAAACACTTCTTTTTCTCGTCATTTATTTACTTCCATCCCGGCCACAGTGCGTGAAAAAAGATTTTTGAAAAAGCTTTTGGAAGGAAAATATCAAAATAAGGTTTATCCTCTCGCTCTCTCTCTCGCATTTGGTTATCTTCAGAGGAGACACCTATTACTTAATTTCATGCTTAAAGTACCAGCTCACGAGTATAGAGAGTGTACTAGCGGAGCTACTCAGAAATTTAGCTTACAGTAGCTTGTGAAGACGCATGGCGCCTTTGCTCTATATCGGGACAATGCGTCCGGCCGCATAGTTTGAAAGAGGCCGCATTTGTCAATACTTTCCGAAGTCATCTGGTTCAGCCTACACCATACTCGCCCAGTCTTAATGTGTGAGTGCTGAGTATTTCCCAAGGTCAACGAAGGCCCTCGCTTTTGTCCTCTTGAAGAATGACTGAACTTTATAAAAAGGCCAACTTTAGGCAGTCTTCTGGTCATTGGTACATCGGTCGAAAAAGTGCATCAAATTTGAGGTAGATTCTACTAGAATGTATTCGTTTGTCTACCGAAAAGCCAAAAAATGGTGGAATTAATTCCATTGGCCAGACTACTCCATCGCTCAATCTTCCGTTCATTAAAAAAATTTTGGGAGACATCCCGAAGTTCTGTCTCAAGACGTACTTTAGTTCAATGGAACAATCTACGAGAAGTTAAAGAGCACGCCAAGCCGAGGCGATCCTACAACTGTTGAAGTCGCGGGTTTTTCGACACCATAGACCGACATTCTGGGCTCGGTATGTCGTCATTGAACGGGATCAGGTGCTGGGCTTCAAAGAACACTTCAACACCATCTTCCTGGGCATCCAATTTACGATGGAAAAGAGGAAAACAACCAGCTGGTCTTTCTTGATGTCCTCGTCTGCCGCAAAGATTGTGGTGGCCTAAAAACCAAAGTATTCAGGAAAGCGACAAACACGACGTATGTACTGAACTACAATAGTAACCACTCAACCAATCACAAACTTATTTGCTTAAGGGCATTATACCAGCGCGTGGAGACACACTGCAGTGAACCGAATGACGCGGTTGCTGAATTACAGTACCCTCGACGGGTGCTTGGAGAGAATGACTACTCGCGCAACTTCGTCAACCAGTGCCTGCGAAAACAAGGCGAGAAACGAAATCCAACCGACCTCAAGTTTTGGCGAGCTCTCCTGTACGCGAAAAATGTCTCGGAGATCCTCATTTGCCTCCATGCGCTGCTTGGAATTGGAGTTTCGCACAGGCCGGACGCAACCAGAAGGCGCCTGATTATGAGGCCGAAAAATCCACCGCCAGGCCAAAAAAACATCTGGAGTCGTATACCGGGTCCGGTGCAGCTGCGGACGAAGCAAATACGTCGGAGAAACCGGAAAACAAACGTGGACGCGGATGGCCGAACACGCAGCCCTTGTTTGTACGCTCGTCTGGACGTTAGGTTTTTCACTTGTTCTTGTATCTTTTTCATAGAAGCCTTCTTGATTAATCCGCAGGTTTCGAACTACGATCTGGTTGTTTTCACATCGACTAGCAGAAAATATTCAAACTGCTGCGTGTCCACTGCTGAAAATATGCGTTCCAAAACGATAGATCGAAGATGAAAAACAGCCAAAAATTTTGCCGTTACCGGTAAGTCTAATTGCATAGCCTTAATTTAAACCAAAACAGGTGTATGACGAGGAAGTGAACAGTAGCCGATAGGACAGACATTGCGGAGTATGTTCTACAGCATTTGGCGAATCTCAGGAAACGTTAAAGGAAATTTTGAAACGATTTTGGTTTATAGAGGACTTCTTGGATGAATTTATAATACCAGTTGCCGTGCAAAATAATCCTAAGGCACGTCTGTTATGCTAAGACGCGGACTTTTCAATGCACGTTTTTCTGGTCGCCTGTAAAAACTGTACTCGGTCAAGAATGTCATGCTTTTTCCTTGACTTCGATGCCTTAATAAACTTAAGCATAACTTGTAGGAAACAGGCACAAAACAGCAAATTTCGTATACATTTGTCTTCTGCCATTTTTATCCCCGATGAAAATGCGTCCTTCAATGCTAAAATTGTTCTTCAAATTCCGAATTATTAAGAGCCTGGCCTACCATTTCACTCAGCATTGGACTTTAAACCTACCAGCCACATACCTTGCGCGTGGGGAAAATCATAAATTCTCCGATGCTATTGGGTATGTGTCCTAGCCCGAGGGGTAGATGGAAGAGAAGGAGGGTGCGTTCGGGTAACAGCTAATTTTTCCTCACAACGTACCAGCACAGAGTTTCTCAACTCCTCAAAGGACGCCTCAGTCATTTGGGGCCCTGAGCGCTCTGGGACACTCCAGCGTATGGCGTGTCGGTATTGGACTGACCATTTCGTACGCTAGGATCCTCTCGTATGTTCGAAGGACCATTGGTTGGGCCGCATGTATCGATTAAAGAGAGGGAAGTGTGCTCTGAGAACAATCACAGTCCGCAAAAATACTGTTTCGACTGTAAAACGTGTCTTTGGATCAGAACTCTGCCGCCTTTCATGTAGTCAGTTTTGAAAAAAGTCAGCTGTCTAAAAATAATCAGTGAGAGCCGCTCCTACGTGAACACTCCCGAACCTACACCCATGGGATGCGAATTTTACGCAATTTTCCACTTTATACGAAATTTAGTTCAGGCGAAACGGCCTTTTTTACCGGATCCAGAGTCACAGCGTCAGGTATGTGGCATTCGGAAGAGGATGCCAGAGGTTTCTAAAATTTTGCTTAGAGATCGTTCCGCCAAGAAACATTGTAAGTTCATCCTACACCATCATAGTCGCCTGACCTTTCGGGTCACAACCAGCTGTTTCCACTCGTCAGAAGAGGGTGTGAGGGTAATTTTGAAATCCGCTAAAATTGTTTTCTGTTAACCAAGACCATTTAGATCTAGGATAAGAGACCACCTCTAGGACTGTATTGATAATGCGATCGATTAGCTCTAAAAGTACTCAAAAGTTGCCGGAGTAGATATCGAAAATGCTGCCTTCCTCGTGACACTACTGAGAAACAGTAACTGTATCCACCTACTGGGGTTACAAATTTCGGGGATCTCCTACCCCCAATTACTCAGCAACTTTTGGTTCCTTATTTTTGCTTGCTCTCTTACCGTGTTCTAGGTTGAACCAATCACCCAAGCCATCTCTGTTTCTGCCTAAGTAGTCTTCACAGTCGTTTTCTTCCCCTAGTCTACGCTCCCTTGCCTTGTATGTGCTCTTTTAAC